CCACCACCACCACCACCACCACTTTATAGCGACTTGGCGTCATCGACCACACACACCAACGATCACCAACTGCAACCCCTCTCTTAAAGTATACGAACAAAAACACACCGAAAAAAGGCATAACGGGCGCGGCGTAAGCGGGGCTGTATTAGAAAAAGGGAACACCCGGGTATTTCGGACACTATTTTATGACTGGGTTTAGGCTTGGATTTGGGAAACAGGACACATCCGCTTATGAAGAGGCATAGGTCGAGAGATTCGAGCAAAAGGAAAGGAACGGAAAGGGAACTGATTTGCGCCATGGAGTTGACATATCGATACCCATGTTTTTACTGTTGTTTTATCTGGGATTTGGACTGGTACCTCACCCATTGATGGCTTAATGACAATAATGGACTATCTTGACAGCAATACTTATTTGAGGACTCTGTCCTAATCTGCATATTGTTCAAGCACTGTTTGTTTGTGGTGATTGGTGTTTTCCTTGAGTGTCTGCTGAAGTTGGTGTACAAAATATTTGGACTGGAATGGGCTTGCGCGTATGTTTCAGGATATGGGAGTTTCTGATGGCGTTGGTAGCTGAAACAAGGATGTATAATAATACGACTTAATAATACCCCGATCTGACATGTTACTAGACTTGTGATGACCCATAACTAACTACCTTGGACATCATTTGCGTTTCTTACTGCACCGCATCAAGCACGAACATGTCCACGTCCAGGCCTTGCTTGATAGATCGCCTCTTACTCGGCATGGTAGCTTATCTTAAGAGTGTAAAATAGCTTGGTGCCTCTGATTACAGTTGGTTACCTAGTAAGAACGTGGAAAACAAGGTTGGTAAGGTGATCAACAGCTTAGGATGAGCAAGCCCTAAAATAATCTAAAGTTATCTAAACTTAATCTAATAAGATTTCTATTGCAGACTATAATTAAGACGCATGACCTTCAATTGCATGCTTTAATAGATAGAAACGAAAACCCAAACACTCTACCAAGATGCTAAAGACCAAAGGGCCAGTTGAGATAATACGAGTACATCATTACGATACAGCCACGGACTTTATGCAGTCGTCCCCCCCCACGGCAAAGCAACTAGATTAAGGAAACTGGCCAATCTTGAGGACCATAGGGGCGCGTGAGAATGGATTCATTGAGATGTATTCCGTTCCGATAGGCTTACAGGTGATGTGAATGCACGAGCGGACCATTCAAGATGAGAGAGATGCTCTGATACGATAGAACCACTTCATCATCGAAACGAGAAATGCCATGTGAGCATCAAGAAAGTGCATGGGGGAGAAATGGGCGTCCAGTGTCCTGAGAGTAAAGTTCTGGCGGGCCGAATACGTGAGGAGAGATGAATATTGAAAGGATATATACATACGGTCAGCTATCTTTTTGATCTTGGCAGCTTTCATTCTTCTCATTTTCTTCTGAATAAAGAGCAACATGGGTATCATACACGCCAACAATCGAGAGTCTGGGGCATTGGACCCAGTGCCAATTCTTTCACAAGATGGTCCGAATCAAGACGACGCTCGCCCAACCGTAGCTCACGACGAGGTCTTTGGCGATATCACAGAAGATGGACCCAACTACCGCGATGTACGTGCTCCCCACAGGTCCTCTGCAGCACCAAATAGTTACTGACGCCAACAGGTTGGTTGGCTAGGCACTTCTGCACTCATGATGAAGACCCAAATCGGACTGGGCATCCTCTCGATCCCGTCGGCGTTTCACACTCTGGGTCTCGTCCCCGGCCTCATATGTCTGCTCGTCATTGGAGGCATCACCACTTGGTCTGACTATATTATTGGGACATTCAAACTTAACCACCGCGAGGTGTACGGTATTGACGATGCAGGCGGTATCTTGTTTGGGCGCTTCGGACGAGAGGTGCTTGGGATCAGCTTTTCTTTGTGTAAGTGAAGTGAAGTGATGTGAAGTGAAGTGATGACGGACGGACGCTCCGAGTTGAGCTCACTGCTGATCATGACTGTCTGTACAACCTAGTTACCATTTTTGCTTCTGCATCGGGAATATTGGGCATCTCTATCAGTTTCAATGCTTTGTCGACGCATGGGACATGCACAGCTACTTTTGTCGCAGTGGCCGCAATAATCGTCTTTCTATGTGCTAGCATCCGCACCCTGGGTCGCATAAGTTGGCTTGCATGGGTGGGAGTGATCTCTCTCCTGGCAGGCGGTACGTTGAATATCTACCATCGTTGTCATTCATACTGACGGAAGAATCAGTCTATGTCGTTACCATAGCCGTCAGCATCCAAGACCGACCCTCAGCAGCTCCAAAGATAAATCTCCAACACGAATGGAAGTCCGACTACCAGCTGTATGGAAAGCCGAGCTTCACGGAAGCAATGTCGGCTCTCTCGACAATGGTCTTTGCCTATGCTGGCACACCCCTGTTTTTCCCTATTGCTGCAGAGATGCGCGACCCTCGCCATTATACCAAAGCGATGCTGCTCTGCCAGTCCGTTGCGACGGCGACATATATCATTGTGGGAGTTATCATCTACTATTACTGTGGCTCCTATGTTGCCTCGCCTGCTCTGGGTTCCGCTGGCAAGACTATTAAGCAAGTTGCTTACGGCCTTGCTTTGCCAGGTCTGATTGTTGGTGCAACCATCAATGCTCATGTAAGTACTTACCTGCTTGATATGATTAAAATTCAGCCTTGAAACAAAATGGGTACTGATACAAAATCTCTATACCTAGGTTACAGGAAAATACGTCTTCGTTCGAGTCCTTCGAGGCTCAAGGCATCTCACAGCCAACACTGTCACTCACTGGGCTACATGGCTAGGCCTGACCTTTTCTGCAGCTTTGTTGGCCTATATCATAGCGAGTGCAATTCCTGTCTTTGGAAGCCTTGTGTCTCTTGTAGGAGCTCTCCTAGGTACTCTGCAAACGTTTCAGCCATATGGTTGCTTCTGGTTATACGATAACTGGAGCGCAGGAAAGCAGGAGAGATCCCTAAAGTGGGGTTTTATGGTTACATGGAGTAGTTTTGTGATTCTCTGGAACATTTCTGATGATTGCTGGAACATATGGATCTGTTATCGGCGTTGTTGACTCTTACAAGGCGTCAGGAGGGTCGGCAGCCTTTTCGTGTGCTGACAATTCCAACTCTGTGTAACTCGTCCAACTCTGGGTAACGAAGGCGACCAAGTATGGCATAGAGATAATATGCACCGCAATGTTATGAGCAATTTATGAGTCGTCTGGATGCTACGTACATCTTATCCTTAGGTAGTTAGGTAGTCTCTGAAAAAGCGGTGCGGTGCGGACTTAAGCAAATTTTCTTATTGCCCTTGCCCCACAATCGTTATCCACGCCTGGCTACCTACGTTAGTGTTACTCAACTCATCCTTATTCTGACTAGTCTTCATCTGTACATTCCCGTGGCCATGTTCTTATTTGTGTCTGTCTGAGCTGCTCAATATCTGATCTGCTGTATGATACGCCATATAGGAGTACTGTCAGAGTGATCGGTCTTATAAGCAAATCGAGTCAGATTATCGGAGCAGAGATATTATATTCGAGGGGATCCAATTTAATGAGGTCATGTCTCTCACCTGGCGCATCTCAGTCAACGGGGAGACTGATAGCCCTGAAGACTATCTCTCAACTGCCTTGGGCGTCATCTTCCCCGACGATATCACGAATCAGCATGGCGATGATGAACACAACCTCTCATATGCCTCACCTCATCTCCCCAAGTCCCTTGTTATCGACCTCGCCGACCCTGTAAAGGAGGATCACCGCAAGCTGTTCTCACACTACCTCTGGAATTCTTCCCTCCTGCTCGCAGAGTTCATCGAGGCCGACTCTCTCAGCATTCCTCTTGAGAACCCTCGTGAGGCACAGGATACCATTTCATTCAACGTGAAGGGGTTGGAGACTCTTGAGCTCGGAGCCGGAACCGCGTTACCGAGTATCATGGGTGGCCTGCTAGGCGCAAAGCGCGTCGTTGCCACAGACTATCCAGCTGAGCCCGTCCTCAAAACCCTTCGCACCAACGTCGCTCGCAACATCCAACCCTCTCTATCACCCGCTGGCGCTGAGGCAACTCCCTCCTCTGCAGTCTCCGTCCAGGGCCATTCCTGGGGTGAGCTCGATGACACTTTCAGCACATCAGCTGCTCACTCGTTCGACCGTGTCATTGCCGCCGATTGTCTCTGGATGCCTTGGCAACACCAGAACCTTCACCGCTCCATCGCCCACTTTCTCAAGCAAATCCCTGAGGCTAGGTGTTGGGTTGTCGCTGGTTTCCATACTGGTCGAACAAAGATGAGCGGGTTTTTTGATGCAGCGGCGCTTCAGAAGTTCGGACTCGAGGTTGAGAGGATCTGGGAGAGAGACTGCAACGGCGAGGAGAGGCCATGGGATACTGAACGTGAGGACGATGTTACGGTGCGCAAGAGGTGGCTCGTCGTCGCTTCGCTGAAGTGGATTTCAACCTCATGAGGCTTATATGAGACTTTGATGAGGAGCCCGGCAATTTCACTGAGCCAGAGGGAAGAGAAGAAGCTTTAAGCATCACGACCATCTCACGCTCGGACTCTAGGAAACACTTCAACTCATCGTGGCGGAGCAAGACACTTGTTCTAGTTGCGTCTTCTCTGTCTCATTGATTGGCTCACCTTGCTGAGAGGACTCGACTCCCGCCCGCAGAATGAGGCGGAGCAACAGCTTCGTAGGGGACGGATACGGAATAAGATGGTAGCTCTCCGTAAAAACAAACAGGGCAGTCGGGTGATGACTGGTTAGAGTCGTGGAGAAGTCATGCCAGGTGAGGAAAAGTAAAAACTGTACGAAGATACAAATGTATTAGATGCATAAGATCACGATATCAAGAATAAACAGGCAATTCCTGAATTACGATGTATATATTCTCGGCACATACGCTTGCTATGTATCCCCCTCTTTATATAATGAAACAGCGCAGCTTCCTCGGCTGGGGACGTATTAGTTCGATGCTTCAATGCTCGGCCCCTTTTCATCAATCTTGGCAACGCGATCGTAGCTCACGCGCAAGTTTTGCGCTCCGCTCAGGGCGCGGGTCAGCATCGCTTCGTGCCGCTCTCCCACAAGACGTTTAAGTGCTCCAACTAAGAAGCCTGCGATAATGTCGACAGACCAGTCATCAGGGATAAGACTGAGTACGTCGTCAATCTCAAACCAGCTGCCAAACCGCTCCAGGAGCGCTCCAGTCTGCTCGACACGATCACTGATATTTTCAAGAGTGAGCAATTCATGGAGGACAACATTGAATAAGCGGCGTTGTTCCTCAAAAGATGGTCGTAGGGATGGAGCAGCGCCAGTTGTGCTTGCACCACCACGTAGACAATATGAAACTGCAGTATCATAGTCACCCAGGTTATGGACCAGCAGGCGTAGGGCATCGTCGTGTTTGCATTCTCGGCCAGCAAGTATAATGGTCTCGGGCACCAAAAGATCATCAGGCAGTTTAGAGATCCGATCTCTGATGGCTGCTGCATCATAGTCATTGGCTTCGCCTAAGAGTTGAAGCAACCTCAAACGGCTGTGCCAGACCTCGTTGTCCTCTGGGGCGTTGTCCCGAAGGAAGTGGCTGTATGCAGGCTTAGGAGGCTGTAAAGCGCGGTATGCCTCATATGTCGCTCTGATCAAAGTTCGGCTCTCCTCAGATGATTCTAGATCATGAACCACCACGTCGAGGTAGTACGCCATCAGGTCGTTGATATACGTGGTATGGCCCTTGCCAAAAACCAAATGTTCGAGGTAATACTTGACTGCATCAGGTGCCTCCTCTCGTAAGATTGCAACGGCTTGCGCTGGCTCAAATTTGGGTGCTCGTCCCTTGTCTTCAGTAAAAACTTGGACACCAAGCTTTGGGTTGCGATTTGCAAGCCACACACCATATTCTTGGACAAGAGCCTGGCTGCTGATCTTGGTCAGATACTCACGAACTCGCTGTTCCCCCTCACGGAGTTCCTGCCCTACGTCCTGCTCGCCTTCGATGATCCGCCTCCAAGTGGCCAGAACATCTCCTGACAGTTTCCGGCTCTGGTACAGGCGACTTAGCACGAAGAGTCGATGGTATGTTTCGAGTAAATCAACTGCACGGTCAAAGCAGTCGACACCCTTATCTACAATCTCGTATAGCTCAGATCTCACAACGCCCCCCTTACCCAACCCCTTGGGTGAGTGTTGATCAATCTCGAGAAGGACGAGCAGCAACGCCGCATCAACTGTATGAAACACTTCTCTCTCGTCGGCCACACTGCCGAACCCTTTCTTCTTGCGCCATGTTCCAAGAAATCTTCGAATAAAGTGCATCGTCCTCGGCTCCAGTGTCCCAATACTGTCCTTAGATGTCATCTGGAACTCCCTGCTTCTGAGGTAAGCATCGGCGGTTCTTCTGACGCCGCCATATATCCAGATACCGCGTGAGCCTTCTATTATTTCGTTTCGAACGCTAGGAATCAAGGAAAGGACCACTCTGGGGTCAAGACCACTCTCGATTAGCACTTCTTCAAGAGCTTTTACGTCTTTTTCCGTAAACTGCTTATCTTCAGGAGACTTCAGCAAGTTCGTCAAAAGCAAGATGCCAGCTTTCTGCCGTATATATCCATAAGTCATAAATTCCAACTCGCTTTGGGGTTCTCGGCCCCTGACGGAGTTGATAGTGGTGAATATTGCCTGTCTGTCCAGCTCGGCGGGGCTAAAAACATCTCCAACGCAAGCTGCTTCCAAGGCGGCATCAAGTTGTATAAGTAAAGGATTGCGAATAGCCCACCAGATGCGGCTTCCACTCCAGACTGCCAATCTTGCCTCAGCCTTGGCAAGTTGTCGAGCAAATTCCTCGCCCTCTGCATTGCGATTTGCCTCCCACTCTTCTGGTAATGATTCTTCGTCTTGTGAGTCAATGTTTCTGTCAAAAAGTTCCTTCTCTTTTGAGAGATGTTCTATTGACAGTGCTGTCCTCGAGTCTGGTGTCTTGGCTGAAGATGAAGGATCCGGGGTGCCAGGCGATATTGAAACAGAGAAAGGAGTGTATCGCCTTTGCGATAATTTCTGAACAATCTCATCGAATCGCGTTTCTTCGCTGCCAGCAAGCGAACGAATGCCGTAGACCCCATCAGCCTCTCTGGCCGTCAACCAGAACTTCTGTGGGTTTGGGTCCGAACCCGCATCAAATCTTTGAATCTCTAGTCCATATTCCAAGCCTTTCTTTTCTCTCGTCATCGAGGCCAGAACATAACCGTCTTCTTCCTGCATTGAAGATGGCTGTGACGAGTTAGCATTTAAAGGCGGGCTATCTACGACGACCTCCTTGGGGTATCTGGTAAACTCGAGAGTAGGCCTCGTGGGATCGCCATCCAGGTTCACAAACATGCCGATTCCGGGCTCCAGGGGGTCAGTTCCAGTAACAATCAGGAATTCGTCAGGAGTCGGAGAAGTGATGTGAGGCTTTAGAAAGACGGACCCAGGCCTTGGTCGAGGGTCCGTAGACTGAGAAGGTGTGCCGGATGGTGACGGGGCAGCTGGGAGAGGTTTATCGAGTGAAGGAGGATTTGGTGTTGAAGCTCTCTCCATTGATGGCCTGGGGCTTGTCGACGGTTGCGGCGAGGTGTTGCGGCCAAGGAAATCTTCACCCTCGTTGCCGCGATGATCTTGTCGACGGATACTATCCAATATTGAGCCCCCCAAGCTCGTGCTCCGACTATGGCTTGGGACTTCGCTAGACGTGCGGTTTCCGGCAGAAGAGGAGCTTCTAAGCAGCCCACTTGTTGTGTCCGCTCCAATCCTTTGAGCATGTCCAATTTCACTGGGCGAAGTTGTTTCTTCCAAGGATGAAATGCTCATCAAGGGAATCTTGAGCTGTTGTTCCACATCAATAAGCGCATACGACTTAGAGTCCGCGACACAAGCGATTGAGTCCCTACGGACTGAGAGTGTGCTTCCAGAGAAGTCGATTTTCTATATTATGTGAGTGGTGGACAATCACTCCATGCGCTGATACGTACCTTAAAAGCGCGCGCGTCCTCGCCTACACGCACAACCTGGATCTTTCGCATAAGAGAGAGGAGGATAGTGACACCTCCACCCCTCTCTGCACTTCCATCGTCGAGCAAGGGCTCATTCAAATCAACACCACCTATCCAACTACAGTTCTTGACTAGAGTTGTTCCAAAAACGGGGCTAAGTTCGGGCAGGGAATAGAAAGTGACGGTCCAATTGCAAAGGATACACGCTTTGCCGACACGAGGTAGTAGGAGGATTTGCTGAACGCCGGGTCGCGAGTTCGGAGTGCCTGGAGTTTCGACATATTGAGGACATAGTCGAGATGCGAGGATATAAACGGGCTGCCCCGATCGATCGTTTGGGTCTGGTGGAATTTGTACGAAGTGAAGTAGCTCGGAGGCAGATGTGCCAACGTACAGATTCGCATCTGCATGTGCAAAGGTCAACTGTGAGCGCAAACACTCAGTATCAATGCCGGAACTACTTACCTAGATAATCTATGCAGTTGATCTTGATATCATCTTTGGAGCCGTCTGCAGATAGTGGCACCTCATCCAATAAAGTCCTGAGAACATAAGGGCCAACCTCGCGACTGGTACTGGTTAGCCCTGGGCTTGTAATTGAAGGCCCATCGCCTGAGCCATCTGATGTCATAGCGGCGTTGTTATCAACAGCATCATTTGAGCGAACAGCGCATGTCGTGTTTGCCTCTGCGGATTCGAAAAGGTTGTATCCAGGCACCCGAGGCTGGCTGGCGTATGTTGACATCAATCAAGTGGATCTACGTACCTGAAGCTCTGGGAGCTGACGGGACCTAGGTACCTTGAGTGGATAGTCGCCGGGCTTAATTAGTGTCTATGTTCACTGACCTGCAAGGCTGCGGGGGATCAGTCCATGGAACTGCCCCTGGAACCTTGGCGTTATCAGCCTGACAGCTCTTGTGGCCAATAAGCTTGTTATGACACGCGCAACCTGGCCGCAAGTTATCGAGGAGGGAGACGAAACACATTCCTTCCTATTCATCAGCACAACCTCATGGCCCCCATTTAACCACAACAGCAACGACCTCCTACGACCATTGAACGACAGCATCAACTGCAAAACACTCGCTTTAACACATCCGCGGCGTTCGAGGCTGCCATATCCACTCCTTTGCGCCGCCCCTGATCGCCAGCTCAATACAACGCCATGACTGACGCAGCCGTCGAGGCTGCTCTGGCGAGCACAACCGAAGCCCCTACACCTGCACCCACCTTTGAAGGAGAGAACAAGTTTCAGCATGCGATATCAGCATGGAGAAGTACGGTTTCCAGCGAACACCAGTTGTAGCAGTTACTGACAGATTGCCTGGATAGCCATCGATCTCACAACCCTAGTCTCGACTCTCGACAATACAGCTTCAGACATTGTCGCATACCAGCGGGACTCAACTGTCCAACGTAAAGAACTCGCCCAAAAGACCAAAGAATTCCGGAAGCTCGATGATTCGGCCAAGCTTACAGAAATCAAGGGGCTATTGAAATGTACAAGCAATATCCTATCATATACTGATACAGACTAACATCATCGCAGCCTATCAGACCTTTATCGACCTCCTTACGAACCACTCCAAGTCTGTGAACTCGGCATTTCTTCAAACATATGCATCTTTCTCTGATGCTCCCGATCCGTATCCACTTCTTGAGGCCTCAGTTGATTCTATGCTCTTGTCCGAAGATACCTTACCAAAGATTACCGAAGAAAACCAGCACCTCCAAGAGAACGTCTCGAAACTTTCAAGTCAATTGGAAGAGACCGAATCAAAGCTCCAGAATGAACGAAAGGTTCGAAGAGAGCTGGAGGACAACCTAGAGAAACGTGTTAAGGAAGTTGAGACGTCATGGAACGCTGTGCTAGAGGAGAAGACAGATAACTGGGAGGCCAAGGAGAAGGCATTGGAAGATAAGCTGGAGAAGCAGGAGCGTCTTCTGACCGAGATGCGCGCAAGTTATGAGGTTAATCAGCGCCTGGGCAAGAATGGCGACGACCAGGAGGCTCATCGCAACAATGTTTCGAGCGCTGAGCTTGAGATGCTCCATGCAGATTTGGATCGCACAAGCTCTCGCCTAGCCGAGGTTGAGGCACGAAACGAACAAATGCGACTGGAGCTGGCACAAGCCAAGTCATCAGCCCAACAGCAACCTGAGACAAGTCTTGAGGACGATCCTGGATATATGCGTGTGAGGTCAGAGAACCAGTCCATGATCCGCAAGCTGGATGCCGCTCGTGTGGAGAAGGAGGGTCTCAAACGAGAACTGGATGGCAAGTTGCGATCTATTGAAAGAGAGGTGAACATTCTCAAGGAGGAGAGGGATACCTTGAAGAGCAAGGTTCAAAAATGGAGTGACTACGAGGATATCAAGCAGGAGCTTGAGGTTCTCAAAAGTATTGAGTTCTCCACAGGTGATGATGACGAAGTAAGAGAGCACCTTGAGGCAAAGGATGCGGAGGGTAATTCTCTGGAGAAGCTTCTCTTGGCGCGAAACAAGAAGTTGGGCGATGAGTTGACGGTGCTACGTGTTTCGCATAACGATTTGCAAAGTCAATTGGAGGATCTTCAAGAGGAACTCTCGAAAACTAACGCCGAATTGGAGAGAGCCCAGAAGCTCAACCAGAAACTGGAGAGTGATTTGGAGGCAATCCAAGAAGAGGGTGCCAACGCATTCCCATCTGGTGCATCTGTAGCTGGAACATATGTCACCCGGGCAATGGGCCGCAAGAGTGGCAGAATCTCACCAACATCATCAATCATTAGTGGTATGGATCCTCGCATGGGAGGAGGCGAGCCCGGCGAACGAGTCTATGGAGGAGGCTCGGGCATGTTGCCCATGGTCACGGCCCAGCGAGACCGTTACAAGAAGAAGAATGCAGAACTTGAGGAAGAACTGTCAGATACGCACCGAACAGTCTCGCAGCTTCGCCAGGAAGTCGCAGCGCTTCAGAAGGATAACCTGAATCTCTACGAGAAGACAAGATATGTTTCGACATACAACCGAGGAGGAGGTGCAGCGACATCGTCGGCGTACGGGGCGAATCCAAACCCATCAACAGTGTCGATTGGCGAAACGGGCAATCCTGGTATCGCTATGGACCGATACCGCCAGGCATACGAGTCCAATATTTCTCCGTTTGCAGCTTTCCGTGGGCGAGAGTCTGCTCGAGCCTACAAACGGATGAGTCTACCAGAACGCGCAGTCTACTCATTGACGCGCACAGTACTTGCTTCGCGAACTAGCCGAAACTTGTTTGCTGCATACTGCGTAGCACTCCATTTGCTGGTGTTTGTAACATTGTATTGGCTCAGTTCGTCAGATGTCCAGCGGGTAACCCATCTTGAGTCCGCCGCGGCAGCGGCAGCTGGAGTTGCCGGGGCCTCACTTGGCAGTCCAATGGACGGGGCGCCTAAAGATCCTGCCAAGTAGAGGGCGATGCGCCGTCTTGTTTTGTAAGTGTTTTGCTCAAAAGCCGGAAAGGGAATGTGTCAATGAATCTCCGCGGGAGATGGAACTGTATCAATATCAGGATAGACCTGCGTTAAGACCGGGTCGGCAGTGGAGTCATTGGATACTGTATCTGAGATCTCGTGCTATGTGCTGTACATATCAGGGAAGCAAGCGATATCTCGTGCGTTTGAAGCGAGATCCATGCCATATCATGCCAAGAGGGATGGTATTATTGTGTTGGGTGGAGAGTACCTTGAATTAGACCATAACATGATCCACCTAAGCAACCCCCTCAAGAGAAAATCAAGTAAACATGTGACAGACTTGTTCTAGACAGCCTCTGAGGTCCGCTAAAACATGCAAGTCATGATGTCGATAGAAGCTTGGCTATATTCGTCTTGATGTGCGAAAATAGCCCGTCCCAATAAGAGGGGTCGCGGGGCCAGTTGCTATTTTCTGCAGCCGCTGGCCGCCTATCGCGGCCCGCAGACATGCATGATCCGCGGTCCAATCAGAGACTCGGAGGCTGGCGGCAAGCTACACATGGCCCTGTATGTAATTTAATACGGTCAAGGGACTTTGTTTCTCGTTTCTTGGGAGGTCTTGGATGTTTTGATGCTGGGCTGAGGTTGGTTCGTCAGTGGCGCCGAGAGATCTTGGGATCTATTAAAGGGATCCTTGGGTTGGCTTGGGGATGGAGCGTGACTTGAACTCGAGAGTTTTCGTAGCAATGCGGTCATACAGAAAAGGGAAGCGAATGTAGTACAACGGCGGCTCTCATCAATGCTGGCTGGGTACCGTTGTATGACATGTATAGGCCATCATAACTTGCACGTAAACAGTCGGTCTATCTGGAGAACGGGGTCAGATATATGTCTGTGTATTTTTTCAATGACAGACTCGGCTGCACGAACCCAGATCGCACATGGCAAAGTGCATAAAAAAGCGGAATTGTCATTGTCGTGGCATTTCCTCGTGCTCATCTCCATTTCTAAACGCCCATGCATGCACCCATGGATGGATGCATATGCCGACGCCCGAGCCAGGCGCTTAAACTAATCACTCCCGCCAATCACAACCCCAGCAACTCTCTTGAGCAATCAAATGGTTGGCTCTCGTTGCTCAATCTTGTTCCCGGATCACATATGAGCCAGACGTGCATGCCCATCTCAGACATTGCAAAAAGGCTGGTGTTTATTTTTGTGTCCAGATCTTGGCAGATAATCCAATCATGGATGGCCATTTGCTCAGACCTACCGCCCGTACTGCAGTGTACTGTACGCTTAGGCGCGTATAACAGGGTCTTGGCCTGAGGGGAAGGCTGGTATATTAAGAGATGGGTTCGTCGCCTCACGGTGTTGAGAAAGAAAGAGGCAGGAAAAGAATCTCTCTGCATTTGTCTGTCTGTCTGTCTGTATACACTCAAAGACGCTGAGCGTTCTTTTTCCTTTTTGTCTCTTTTTTCCTTTATCTGTTATTTCCTTATTTCCTAGGGTCAACAAGTTTTCTATCTCAAGTCTCGTTACGGTCGATCATCTATCTATAAACATTGGATTTCTGTTGTTTCTTGGGTTCAATTTCTCTTAACGGCATACGTCTTGACGACTCGAAACAATACCGACACGCTTATACCCTCGATATCACACACAAACCTCTCTCTATACTCAACCAACTTCAAGATGCAATTATCAACACTTGTCGCTTCCGTCCTCGCGGTGACTGCCTCTGCGGCACCAACCTATCCTACTGCTACTGTCACAAATGCTGGATCCGCCATTGACACATTAGGGTCATTGTCTGGTTACTTCAATTTGGTCGCGGATAAGGTCAAGGCGGTCAAGTCCTATGGAACGGCTCCTGTCTGTGATCTCTCACAAGCCAAGATGCCTCTCGGTACGTCACCACTATTCAGTGCTTGTTCTCTTTTGGCTAACAAGTGTTTTCAGATGGTCAGCTACCTTCCCCAGCCAAGGGTCTGAAGCTGGTTCATGTCGCTATCGGCCGTGGTACACAAAACTATACATGCGATACCAGCAAGCCTTCATCAGCCCCCGTCGCTACCGGTGCTGTAGCCACTCTCTTCAACGGCAGCTGTGTCGCCGCGATGTACCCAGATCTGATCGAACGCATCCCTGGAATGGCCGTTCACTTCCCTCTGTCAGATGCCAACAAGCTTGGCCCTGCATCTCTCGCTGAGTCTGGTCACCATTATTTCACCGCCGGTGGTACGCCCTTCTTCGACCTCCGCACTCCCAACCAAGACATTGGCGAGGCTCCATGTGCAAAGAACAGCAGCGCTCCTGCTCCATCTCTCTCTGCCAAGGGACAGCTGGGTGAGAATGCTGTGCCATGGCTCAGACTCACCACCATTGAGGGTGCTACCCACAAGATGAAGGAAGTCTACCGAACTACAACAGCTGGTGGCAGCGCCCCTGCAACTTGCCAGGGTATGGATGCTGAATTCGAGGTTCAATATGCCACATTGTAAGTGCTTCTTAACAAGATCGAGTAGATATAGAGCACGATGACTAACATTGTATCAGATATTGGTTCTGGGCTGGCGATATTGAAGAAGATGATGCGTAAAGTGAAAGAAAGGGAGCAAATGGATTTTCATGGATTGGTATTATTTTGAATTTGATGGTATTCTTCTCTTATACACGTAGATAGTATTGTTTTGGACGTAATATCCCGGTTCTTAGCGACGTGGAGGTCAATAATTCAACTTGTGACTTGAGCTTCGATTCTTTTCAGTGAACTCGTACGGTCGGGGGTTTTACCGGAGCGGAAGACTTTTAATCATATAAAATCATATCATTTTAACGCCGTGATGGACTTCGTAAGCATACAGTACGCATTTGGTCCCTCTAATGTTGTAACGCAGCTTCATGATCTCCGGCATTCTCCGGGCTCCAGGCTACCGTCCGTATTCCGATGAATCTCCCATGGGGATGCCCACAGGGCTAATCCCTGAACTCAAGTTGAATCGAAGCTGCAAAACGGAATTCAGTGTAACTTTCTTTTAGAGGTAGTGATGATGATTTGCATCATCTCATAGCTTCTAAAGAGAGTTAAAAATACGCCTCTCCGTCCTAAGCGAGCAACGATTACCTGTAATTCAGAAGAACACACTTTACGCTGTTCGAATGTCGCTATAAACTCTAGGCACGAGGAAACTCAATCCTAGAGGCAACATACTTACTAACGGCAGCAAGCCAATATAACTTGAACAGAGAATTTCACTATTACTCAATGCTTAGTACCTATACAGCATCCGTACAAAGATTTGCAGGCGGCTTCACTTCCAACTTGCACCCGTCGTGAAGGTGTATTTGTGCCACGGAACATGGCCGATGGGGCACTCAGGTACCCTCCAAAAGTGGATCACTCGCTACCCTGGACTGCCCATGTCTCTCCCCCACATCCTAAGGTTAGGTTAGTTACCTTTACGTCTAACATAAACATGCCATCCCCATCTTCAACTCTTTAATTTTCTCCCCTCGGAGCCGCAATCGCACAATTAACCCCGGCATAGATCGACAGCTATTCTACCAACTACCGGGAGACGAGGGCCCTGTCCCCTCGATTTCACTTTCCCCCAGACACATACGTTTGCCACCAGGCATTGGCTGCATCGATCCGATCCAACCCGCTCATGTACCTCCAGTCTGACCTTGACTACAGCCGACCGAGCACTACATCACGGATTCATCCATTCACCTATTCACACTGATTACGACAAAAGAGAGACATCCCCGGCGGCTATTCACCTCCAACATTCATCCTTGTTGCACGACATCGAATTATTACTATTATTTTTCTTCTTCATACCAAACCCCTTCGTCCTCTTCTCTCTCTCTCTCTCTCTCTCTCTCCAGTCCCTGCTGCTCCAACGCCCCGCCATCAGAGTGCCTTGACGACATCTTCGCCCAACGTCCGACCGAAAGTAAATCGCCTCAACCGTTCCTTCTCGCACTCACTCGATTCTGACAGCGCTTTCTCTACGAAACCCAAGACTTGCAGTCCGTCCACCCATCGCGCACATGGATCCTAATTGGATTGACGCCATCGACCCAGCATTGAGCCAGAGAAGACCAAGCACTGCTCCTCCGTCCTGTGACGAAGAAATGCCCACTCTCCTTGAACTGCCAGATTCCCATGAACGAGGCCAAGCGATGTCCGCCGTTACATGGCCCACGAACGAAATTCCGGTTGAGATTTTCGAGATCATTATTTCGTACCTCACCCGCCTCGAGGTCAGATGTTTGCGACTTGTCTGTAAAGAATTCGAGAACAAGGCTTCTGCACAGTACTTTCGAAATGTTGTCGTACCCTTCAAGTCGGAGCTTTACAGCAAGTTGGATCGTGATGAAAACGGGGCCTTTAAGCGCACGTCCTCCGCTCTTCTCTCAAATGGGATGCGCATCTTCCAGTCTTTTGGTCCACACATTCGGCGCTTTGCCCTGTCTTTGGAACTTGACGAGGACACGCTCTCATACCCTCCAGTGAAGCCTTCTCAGGAAGCTGTACCCTCTTTCTGGGGCATATACCGCTGGCCACATGGCACTTACCACCGATATACTGATCTTGAAGGTCTCGAACAAACGGCTGACGAAACCGAGGCCATGAAGGAAGCGCTCAAGTGTTTGGTGAAAGTCACAAATCTTGGACTCTGTTGCGATGCTGGCCTTGGATTTCTGTCGGGGCCCGATCACATCGCACGAGGTGCAACCACTCTCCATCCTGTGTTTGCAACGCAGAATTGGCGTCACACGCGTTCTGAGTCACAAGCTCGGAAGCAACCAATCGTCACCATGTCCGACCTGAATGAAATGGTCAAGGATTTCAGAAAGCCTGTGTTTGAGAACCCCATTAGTTTCAAGCGAACAGTTCTGCAAAAGATGGCCTCAGATGCTGGGTACTCAGGCTCCCAGATCAACGAAGCTGTACTCATGCTGTTAGAGACTGAAGGCACCAACATCAACGCGATTGACTTTGATGAGAGAGCAACCATAATCACTGAGATGGAAGCTAGACGAGTAATGGCGCAAAACACACATCGTGCTGACTTTGAACCAGCCGCCCCAGAGGCGGTCAACCACCCGCTGATTCCCGCCAGTCTCACAAGAGCACAGAAAGAAATGCTCCTCGAGCTCGAGTGGGCACATCGCGCCATGATCCAGTCCTATGTTATTGGCCTTATCGACAATGCCCGGGACGACTGCTTCAAAAATCTTACCACCATCACGATTGCTAAGATTCCCAGTAGCCATGTGTATATCCTTTGTCGGCATGAGCTGTGGCAGAATCTATCGTCTCTCACCAATGTTTCGCTGGGTGTTATTGCCGACTGGCGACGCGTTTCCAAGTCTGCACCGGGCTGTGTGGAAGATGACGCAGTTTCTCCTGTTGAGGCTGTTGGTAAGGTTTATCAATTGCTCAACAATTACATTGGCGCTCAGCGACACATCGAAAGCCTTCACTTTGAATGGATCTGTGGTGGAGAGTTCGCTCCTGGGACATATCAGCGAAACCACCACATCCTTCCAGCACCGTTCTTTGAACAACCTCAACTCATGACTCGCATTGATAGCCCCAAGACTAATACGGACGATCTCTTGTCATTGCCGTTTATTAAACATTTATCACTCAAGAACTGCTGGGCCTCACCGCATGTCCTTTTGCAAACAATACGCAATATGGCCTTGTCTACACTCGAGAAGCTCGATCTGGAATCTGTATCACTTTCCGGTCCACCGACTCTCACTCCCCAAGCTCCGCTCCAGCAAGCTGGGGCAGCAAACAATGCTCATCTGTTGAACATGATTGGGATGCACCCTGCACCTCCTGGGGTGCTGGTACCTCCGCCTACCAATATAGCGAATGGAATTGTTGCACCATTCCCGTTCAACGCAACGGCTCAGCAGATTGCAGGAGTATTCGGAGCGGCTTTCATGCCACCGCCACCACCCAACAATCAGGCTCCTCCGCCGCCCCCTCCACCTGCAGCTATGGATATCTTACAGCAACCAGATGTATTATCTTGGGCAGGCATCATAGAGCATTTCTCCCCAAGCATCAAGATCAAAGACATCTTGAGTGCCAGAGACGAGCTGAATTTGAATATCTCGAGCCTGCCAGCCCCTGACCCGGCAGAACCCCTAGCGCAGCACATCCCTGCGCCGCAGCGCCTACGCTTAGACGAGAAGAAGTATACCTTGAAGTGCCTCTCCTTCAAGTCCTGTGGGTATGTTACAGTCGACTCACCGGCTTTAAATACTCGGAGTATCTTGCCGCATGGCGCTCAGGGCCTCGGGGCCAACGGCAATCCGCACATCCAGGATCTATCGCCTCTGATGCAGAAGTGCCGGGACAAGCTTCTCTGCCGGATCGTTCCTTGTTTAAGGAACCAGGAGCTACTGCAGCTTACAACTGCTTTCGGTATGGACATGGGATGGGCCAATGTATATGATGAGCGTACAATTTACGACGCTAGAGCTGATGGTGTTGAGCAACCCGGAAAAGGACGATTTTCGGGCACAGTTGATGCTGCCAGTATTGCAGGGGCACGAGATGGCGAGGCCATGGTGAGCCTAGACTTTTAGTTCAGGCTCTATGGTGACCATACTTGATTCCCCATTTTCGTACATGTCGCTGTCCTTACCGCCGTTGTGGGTAATCCTGTCAATCAACAACCATTTGGCTTACCGCTCAGTAACCAAGATAATGGCCAGACGCTTCCGCAAGGGCTGGATGATCAGGACGGCGTATAGTAACCACTGCTGCTAATAAATGACGACTCACCATGGACAGATGGTGAGAACCGAACGGTTGGGCTTAGCATTGCTGTAATAGAAAGGATGGCAGAGGCGTTTGGTAATTGTTCACGAAAACTGGCATGGGAAAGGCAATCGGGCCTCGCTGAATTGGACGGGATGGCTAATGTCGTAATGATCGCTGAGTGAAAATCGAGCCAGGGGCTTTGCTCCCATCGCATTCGCTATGTTGCTAGTTGGAATCAGTTAAGTTTGCTCAATCGATAGCTGCTAGCAAGCATTGTATAAGTAATGATATCGAACACCTTGGAGGAGTGTGATATATGTTCAGTGTCGCTAAATCCAGCCTGATTAATGCCTCACTCGTGACCAACTATCGTGAGTCTACAGGGCGGATGCTGACTTTTACTAATTAATCATGTCAAATTGCTTCTTCTGATGCAGGACCGGACATAGGAGGACTTGAATGATTTTATTTCGTCAAGAAAACCTTGCGAACTTTTGCATGAATTTCCCTTTAATGCCATGCTCACCGTAGCCTGCCATACACCAGTTGATGAAAAGCCACGAACCACCCTCGCAAAAACCCTAGAACAATTGATCGAGTTTTGTAATGTAATCTTGGTGTAGTGTCCCTTTGTTCAAGAGTCTTGTCAAAAGTCACACAGTTACAGCACAGAAGATGCCCGACGTAAACCCAGTGTTCAACCAGCGCTTAAATTTTGTCTATTTGATAGAGGTTGGTGATTGTTTAAGCGGCGGTGATAGCCTTGCGGAGACGGGCACCGCGCTGGCGCGAGTTGAGGTGCTCGCGCTCGACAACAGCATCGGACTTCTGGACAACCTCCTCACCCTCGGTCAGGATGAGCTCGATGTGGCAGGGGTTGGACATGTAGGGGTTGATCTGTTTATGACGTTAGATGAGTCTCGAGGCGGAAGAGTTGGACAACATACACGACCGTGGGCACGGTATGTCCTTCGTCGCTGCTTGGGGGCCTGGTTGACCTGGATGTGCTTGACAATCAGGGCACCGGTGTCGAGACCCTTGGCATCAGCGTTGGCCTCAGCGTTCTTGAGGAGGCCGAGGAGGAACTCGGCGGACTTGACGGGCCATCGAGCCTTGGAGACACCGAACTGCTTGCCTATTGATTGAGTCCATCAGCGTTTTTGTTCTTCTGACGCATATATCCCAGCCATTTGCGATCTCCGAATTTCTCACAAGTCCATCGCTAACGGGGGAAGAATTGGCCGAGTCGTACCTTGGGCGGTGCGGCCAGTGCTGCCGGCATATCGTCGCATGGGGACGGCCTCCTTGTGCTCCTTGACGTTCTCGAGGAAGGTAACAGCGCGCTGAAGCTTCCAGCCGTTGATGGCCTGGGCGGTCTCGCGAGTGTTCTTGAAAGACACTCGGAGGTAGGCACCGCGGGCGCGGGCCGACTTCGAGGACTGGATCTCGGTGGCAGCGTATCGAACCTATATGCGTAGAAAAAGTCCAGAGTCAGCCATGGCACATCTTCAAAATCCCTGCCTTCACAGCCATCATAAATAAAACCCAGCGGTTCCGGGCCAAGATGCACGTTTCGTCAAAAATTGCACGAGCAAGTTCGTGACAATTCGCACAGCACGAATATCCTCCTCTTACTCATGATGGCGGTCGACGGGGGCTCGCAGTTACTCACCATCTCGGCGACTTGGGTGGTGAGTGACGGTTTCGACGTGGGTTGACGGGCGTGAAATTGATAAATTCTGAGCTCTTGCCCTAACAGATCGGAGGGACCACAAACTCGCTTTCCCCACTCCTTTGGGAAAGAGCCTTAGGGCTGCCTGCCCTGTTAGTGCGATTTCCGAAAAGCAACCTCGAACGGCCAAATGAGATGCGAGAAAATGGAGAGCAACGAGTGGAAGACTGTGATGAACTGGAAATCGTACTTGAGTAGTATTGAGATATTTTATGACTTATTGCGCTGTGATTTTGTATATCATTTTGCACACTTGGATGTAATTCAAGTCACCTGACTCTTATCAACTATCACCACGTGACTCTATCATAACCAATATCCGCTCTATCTCCGGACCCGCCTCGGAGACGGAGAAACTTGGACAGACAAAGTGGGCCTGAGCTTCATAGAGCTTCAAAAAATTCTTTCTCGAGTGTCTCTCAAAACGCCCAGCGTCCCCAGACAAGGCTATACAAAAGACAAGTTTGGACTTTGATCCACGTCCGCCTTCTCTCGACGATATCCCTTCGTTTGGAATACTTTTCGCCAACGACATATAGTCGTCTCTAATTCTTCCAAACTTATTCAATTCCTCTTCATCCCATTAAGATGGCTCCTTTCACTCCTCGAGGAGGCGGCCGTGGTGGTCGTGGCGGCGCTCGTGGAGGCCGCGGTGGTTTCGGTGGTGATCGCGGCGGCTTCGGTGGCCGTGGTGGTGCGCGCGGTGGACGAGGTATGAATAGTGCTCTCGCGGTGTTGTTGAACTTCAAGACTGACTGTTTCGCAAAGGTGGTGGCCGTGGTGCTCCCCGTGGCGGTCCTCGCGGTGGTGGCCGAGGTAAGCATTAGTCCTCCTCAACAGCATCATGATTGCGATACTAACAGAATGAAAAGGTGGTCCTCGCGGCGGTCGCGGCGGTGCTGGTGCTGGTCAGCGAGGTGGTGCCAAGGTCATTGTTGTATGTTGATCCTCAAAGTCTAACTTTTTCGCCAAGTTTTGCGATCTAACTTTTTTCTTCACAGGAGCCTCACCGTCACCCCGGCGTCTTCGTCGTCCGTGGTGGTAAGGAAGATGGTCTTGCTACCCGCAACACAACACCTGGCGAGTCTGTCTACGGCGAGAAGCGCATCTCTGTCGACGAGTCTGTCCAGAACGACGATGGTACCACTACCACCACTAAGATCGAGTACCGCATGTGGAACCCCTTCCGAAGCAAGCTTTGCGCTGCCATCGCCGGTGGTGCTGATGAGATCTACATCAAGCCTGGCTCTCGCGTCCTCTACCTTGGTGGTGCCTCCGGTACCTCCGTCTCTCACGTCGCTGACATTGTCGGTCCTACTGGCTACGTCTACGCCGTCGAGTTCTCTTCCCGATCCGGCCGTGATCTCATCACCATGGCCTCCAAGCGACCCAACGTTGTTCCCATTGTTGAGGACGCCCGTCAGCCTGCCCGTTACCGCATGATCGTCCCCATGGTCGATGTCATCTTTGCCGATGTTGCCCAGCCCGATCAGGCCCGTATTGTCGCCATGAACGCCAACTGGTTCCTCAAGGTTGGCGGTGGTGTTCTCATCTCCATCAAGGCCAACTGTATCGACAGCACTGCTCCCGCTGCCGAGGTCTTCGCCAACGAGGTCCAGAAGATGCGAGCTGAGTCCATCAAGCCCAAGTTCCAGCTTACCCTGGGTATGTTTTACATCCAACAACCAATGACTTTTGGTCCATCTGACTAACATGTTACAGAACCCTTCGAGCGTGACCATTGTTTGGTTGCCGGTGAGTACCAGCGCTACAAGTCCTAGACGTACTAGGTCGAGCTTCTGTGTAATTCGCTTCAAATGAAGATTGGAAGAGATGGTCTGCTTTGTGTCATGCGGTTTCCCAGGTATCTCACGGTTCCCGGTAGACTTTTTGTCTTCAGCTTGTTGCATAAGGGAAAAAAATGGTTGACGGCATTTTCTTCAACAACGGCGAGGGGCGTTCCGGGTGGGTTGGATCTGTAAATATCAATGTTTGTCCGAATCTTAAAGCTTTTTTGGTGTTGCGCATCCCAAAAAAGAATCTGAAAAGGAACAAGGATATCAATTACTTATTTTGTTTTCTTCTTCAAACGACTACGGATCTACTTTTCAGTTACAACTGCACCTTTGCCCTGGGACGCGCCGTTGGTTAGGCCGTTGGGAGAGAGATGGCACGGGATCAGAGAGGATTGTACGATGCTATAAGGCCAGGCCAGTGGCTCTCGTCTGCCTGACCTACGACTTGATGATACCCCCAATACGATAGCCGCGCCCGGAGTCCCAGTGTTGTGTCTTTGTTAGATTAGAACAGTTCGAGCAATGCAATTCGTTACCTCTAGTTGTCTATGCTCCGACCATCGCTCACGCTTAGCTTTACACACAAGTCTCGGGACTTTTTGAACTAGTATTTTGTTCTCGAGGCTAGTCAATCTTATGCGTGTCTTTCCTACTGCGCATCTACAATGCCACGTCTATGTTCTATGTACAAGCTAAGCTAAATGTACTGGGTATCAAATAGTTCATGATCAGATTATACTCCCTTCCTTCAAGCTGCCCATGATCTTCGTCGAAACTCCAGTTCGGTATCTGGAGAGGGAGCCTTAGCCATGACCACCGCCATGGCCTTTGGTCTATCTTCGCCTGCTTTCAAGCGGATGTCATAGTTAATGAGTATATGTGCCAGCACAAGTTTGATCTCATTACTGGCAAAGAAACGGCCCGGGCACGCATGCTTGCCTGCGCCGAAATTGATGTATGTATCGTTGAGGGAAGTGAATTGCCATCGATTGCTGGCTTCTGCAGATTCTTGACGAAGCTTGTAGAAGCGGAAGGCATCGAAGCGTTCGGGGTCGGGGAAATAGCGCTCGTCGAGAGCGATGCCGGCTTGAGGCGCGAGGACTTTGGTGCCTACTGGCAGTTCGGTGCCATCAGAAAGGGAAATGGGCTTCATGACCTTGCGGATGAACGATGCTATATCATGGTTAGCTTTCGTCGAGATGTCGAAGGGTCTTGTTGGTACTCACTGATGTTTCCGCTGAGACGCTGGACCTCTCTCATGAAACTATCCAGCTTCTTCAGCTTGGCCATGCTCTCCTTGTTCTCCCATCCATTGTCAACTTCCAGAATGCGATACGCCTCTTCTCGAAGCTCTTCTTGTACTTCTGGGTATGCTGCTAGGTCGCAAAGGCATTCGCAGAGCAGGTTGTTGGTTGTGTGGATTGAAGCCGCTGCAATAATCAACTGCAGTTCTGCCTGGGTTGTGAGGTCGGCCTTTTCCTCCTCTGGCAGTGCTTCAATAAGCCATTGGATCATATCGTCTGGTGCATCTCCACCGTTGGAAAACTCCATATCGTGGAGTCGCTCTTCGAGGATTGGCTTTAGCATTTCCTTGGCAATCTTGATGTCCTTGCGGATCTGGCGAAGCTCTGAGACAAGATGCTGGCCTACAGGCCGAGCCCATTCAGGGATGAACTGGAGCTTGACGCATGCTGTAAAGACGTGAACGGCAAAGTTGATCGAAGTGTCCATCCACTTCTCGTCTCGGTTGATGGATGGTCCAACAAAGGCTCTACCACTCAGACGGGCTACAGCACGAAGACTGAACGGTTGCCATTTCACCGGTGTCCAGTCTTCGCAGGCTGGGAACTCAGTGGCCAAAAGATGTTCCAGTTCCTTTTTCAGAAGGGGTACCACTCGAGTGAGGTTCTGTGTAAGTTTTGTTCTGACCAACAACGCCAGTAGTTCACCGTTGTGGCCTGGAGAGAATTTTGTGTACTTGCTTTGGAGAGCCTAATGGTTGTTAGTATTTCAAGTTATAGGCGGACTTGAAGAATTGGACTTACATCTGACACGGCTTCTGTTGCACTGAGGATATCTTCTGGAAGTCCTTTAAGTTCACCAACGAGACGGGCGGGTACTATGACTTGAACTCCCTCGGTAGCCTTGATCTGATAAACCCGATCCCGAAACTAGTGCAGCATAAGTATATATGGAGTAAGTGATACCGAATCGACCGACCTTTGTGTAGCTGTCTTTGATTAATGTTTCGGCATCGAATATCCATTTGGTCTTTGAGGCCTTGTAGAAGGGTATCTCGAGATGGGATGTCTGCTTCTTGGGGAAAAAGAACCACGCTGCAATAAGGAAGATGGTGATGGTGATGTAGTATCCAGTGCAATGGCCCTCACTGACGAACTGGGGGAGCTGATAATCGACACCAATAGGTGAGGCAGCAAGACTTGATACGTTCTCCATACTGAGTGTGAGGGTGGGTGTAAGAGGGTTCAAGAAGGGAAATAAAGATAAGAATAAAAGAGGCTCTTTGGTAAATAGATAGATATCAAAATTGATTCCTCCTTGAATACGGTTTCAAGATGCAAGGCTAGTCTATACCGAGGGTGTGTTGAGTTATAAGTGAGTGGTATCAGTAGTGTATCAGAAGAGTGTCCCCTCCATGAAAGGAAACGACACTGGAAACTCGATCGGTGATGGACAGATTCGGCGAGACTCGTACTAAACATGCGAGACACAAAATACCCGAAGCGAATCACAGACGGAGTTCTTTACAGTAGCCGTTGCTTATGCAGATGATATGTGTGATATAGAGAGAGAGAGAGAGAGAGGGCGATGGTGGTGGTACAGAGGCAGAGCCAAGACGGAAGCCGTACGGGACGCCATTCCTTTTGACAACTGGCTCAATGTTGTTGATCTCTTGAGTGGACGATTACATTTCTGTGCCGTCTCTGAGAAAAGGTCTGAACATCGTTGGTCTGTGTTGCTCTGAGACAGACTTGTTCAAAGAGCCGCTCTCGGGATGTGGCATTTCCGGGTGTTAGCCTGACGTTGGGTATCAGACTATCAGTAGCGTGAGCTGGCTGGTTCTATCTAGTCTGTGGTCTTGTATGTATACAGAATTGTCTCTAATAAATTGGAGACTTCGCTCATGTGGATGGAATTTGACCGTCCGTCTTTACCGATCATCGTTGTTGATGAATGGAATGAGATGGGCGAGGGAGTTGAAGATCTTGACTCGGTCCGTTTACCGTACGTAGGTACTGTACTGTACTCTATGGAGGTGGTCAATCTCTTGTCTCTTGTCTCTGAGTATCTCATTTATTCTCATTGATGTTATTACCATCTTGGATGAGGTGCTTCACTTGCAGTACAGTATAGTCCAGTACAGCTCATCACACAGCTTCAGTGATGGTCATTACATGGCCGTGCTGCGTGTGATGCATCGTCCTAGTAGTGAGTAGTGAGGCCCTAGTTTCTCGGATGTCGGGACTTCCACTCGCTAGCGTCACTGACCAGCAGCGGAAACTCCAAGTTCCGTCGGGTCCTTGCGCTTCTGGGATATTTCGATCTGCCCTACAGCTAACGGCAGTTGTCGAATTCCATCTGAGACCATCTGGATCTGACACTCGGTCGCTATCCCTGATGATAAAAAATCAATAACTTGCGGCCTGAGATTTCGGATCTGGATCTGACTTGGGCGCAAACCCAAGTCCAGCATGAGAGACAATAGATGCCCTTCAAATTCGCTTCGCTTCGTCTCGCTTCGTCTCGCTTCAGCTCGATACACAGACGAGGCAGCTTTGGGGTAGCATACGTTACATATCTGTTACCGCCATGTTTGATAGTGTAATCAGCATTATCCAGTCATCAACTCCACGCATCAGATACTGTTTCTTTCCGTGTCTCGTTCAGATCCGAAAATTATTTCTCAAACGTGTCCGATGATACGGTATCATTAACTACTTGATTAGATTTCTCCTTGATTTATGTTAACTTGGTTAATACCCACCTTCGACTCTCACTCTGAACACCTTTGATCCTCAAGTTGGCCAACAAACCCTTGCCCGCCCATGAAACCTCGAATATTTATAAGGTCTTACTTAGCCCAGGCCTTTTTCGCAATGTCAATGTGATGGGCAAAAGTTTGTCTCATTTAGCGGACATTGCCGCTCTTACAATGGAACCACGAGAGGAGCTTCAATCTAGACTTTGAAGCACGACTTCATACTTCTACGGAACAAACCTTCCTGGCATCCTTTGCTCATTCAGCTCAACAACCCGCGGGCTCAGATCTGCGTTATCAATTGTTTTGCAAATGAAAATTTTTCACTCATGCCGCCAGTCAGTCAGAGTCAGCCTTGTCGCGGCCATGTCAGCGTCTTTCAAACGATAGATCAGATCCAGTTGCACGACTGGCACCTCGATTCCTGCTGCGCAAGGTCCCCTTTACCGTATCGAGCGGGATACATGGTTACACAAGCCATATCTATTTGATAATGAATAGTTCGCCCGTTCACTATAGATGTCTCTGCGATCCGCTCCGCTCCTCCTCTTGCGTGCCGTCCCCCCACACTGTTCCTGTTTCTATTATGCACTTCAGAAGCAGGCAGTGCTCGAGAACCAATCATGACAAGCAATGCTTACCCCAGACGCCCGTCGTTGAAAGGTTTTCACATCATTCTTCGGGGACCCTGGCCCTAGGGATATTTTCCGTCTTCTCTTTGGCTGATCCGGGTTTATCTATCGTATGCGTCTGCCTTGCCAGCAATCAATTCATTTCGAACGAGGCACCCGCAGCCACGTTGATAATGTAAAGCCAACCGGGCGCTATTCAGCCCATATGCGAACATGATCGACGTCAGAACGAGGGAGCCAACTGCAGAATGGGAAAATTTTTCACTGTCTTTGAGGGGGTTGTGACATATGGGGTGATGGTTGTTCGTGTACTTGCCAAGCTCTCTTGATATATATATCAGACATCGATCTCGCGTGCCCTCAGCCGACATTATAATACATCAAGATATCTCAAGCTCAATGGTCCCTGGCATGCCCCTATTCCGTGCACTTCAAAATGGCAGACTTTCAAGGACTCGGGGCCAAGTTCGAAGGCTTCCAGAGCTCGACAAGTGGTAGCTCATCAAGTCCATTTGTAGTGAGTGTTACTCCTGTGATACACCCAAGGCTGTCTCTGACTTCAAGAAGCAGGCTTCTGATACATCTTCACATACATCCATATCTCTCGCTTCAAATGGCTGCTTGCCACCTCTTTCTACTCATGATACAACAAAGTCGCAGCATCACATGAATAACTTCCAGCAATTTGTCGACGATCTTCAATCTGTACTTCCATCTGTGATTCTGTACTACGTACTCTCAGGATTATTGACAGTCTTTAGGCCGCCAAGCGAGCGTTTCCCAACTCTGCGTATTCTCGTTACACCGAGGTTCAAGTACTCCTCATAAGATGGGAAGAAGACGAACTCGAAGTTGAATGGGAACTCAACGAGCTACAAAGGGTCTTACACCATCTATACGGCTTCACAACAGACAAGTTTCTCATCCCAACCCAAAATTCTCATCGTAAGCTCAATCACAAAGTATTGGGCTTTGTGGAAGAGCATGAGAATGAAGATACCCTTCTCATCGTCTACTACGGCGGGCATGGGATCATCAACAAAGCCAGGCAGTCGACCTGGTCTTGGTACGAATAGTGTTCTCCCTGTCTGACTCAAGCTGACTCGGTGTCTCAATAGTAAGGGTGACACAAGCTACGCGACTGTGGAGTGGTCTGCTATCCAGACTCTCTTTGAGATGGTCAAATGCGATGTCCTTCTTCTCCTCGACTGCTGTGCTGGTGCAAGTGCCGCTCCTCTGACTGAAAGACCGACAAACATCAAAGAGACCATCGCTGCCTGTGGATTTGAGACGTGGACACCTCGTCCAGGCGCGCAGTCCTTTACCCATACACTAATCGAGGTCTTGAAGGAGTGGGCCTCACAGCTCCCTTTCTCGGCCGCAATGCTGCATAGCGAGATATTAACTCGACTCAAACACGCTCAGCCCGATCGGTCTTCGCAAGGAAGGTTGATCGAGTCAAGGAAGACACCTGCTTACATCCTCTCAACGTCTGATCCACATGCTGCTTCCATCACCTTGGGCAGAATGTTTGAAGAAGAGTCTAGCTCGGTGTCGTCATCTCGGGCAATACCTGAGTCAGATCTCAGGAGTCTCTCGGAGAGAGTGCAGTCAGATACTTATATCTCGTCTGAGGACCGCATTCAGGCCTTGTTGGCTGTTGGTGCAAAAGGACAGCGAGCGGCCCCGCATGTTCTTCTCACTATTGCACTGGAAGAAGAACAAGTCTATGATGCAGCGAGTTGCGCTCGATGGCTCAAGCAGTTTCCACTCTTGGCAACTCATGTAAGTGTGGAGTCTGTCTACCGCAGTTATTCAACCCTGCTCCTACTTTCTGTGCCAGTCGTCCTTTGGGATTTACTACCAGAACATCCGGCGACTCAGTTTGTGGGCTACGTCAAGTCCCGTAACCTCTTGTCGATAGACATGGCAAAGGATGGAGCGGCTACGCCAATCCCCATTGCCAGACAAGTGACGGGTGACAAAACTGGCGGCGACTCCTTTGATTGCGTTTCTCCGCTAAGATCAGTATCAGGCCTCAGTAGCTTGGATTCTGGATACGACTCCTGTCTCTCACGACCCGCAAGCTTAGGTGTGGCATTGAGGCATAATCGACTACCCATGGATGGGACAATGGGCTCCCTGGCTAGCCAAGCACTAGCGAGCAAGAGAAGAAACAAGTTGTCATCAACGGAGCTTCTGGGACCAGAGAGGCCAACTTCTACACCAGTCAATGCACGTTTCAAGCCCAAACAGGGGTCTAGTTTGAAAAGTCGTAGATCAAAACGGCTGGTCGTGTCAGTTGGCGAAGCAGAGCTGGACAACGACAAAATCGGCTACACTTGTGTTCTCTGGTATGGATATGATGTTCAACAAAGCCAGTCCACCAAGAGAACAACACCAAAACCAATATGGTAAGTCAGATGTTAAATCGACCAGGTTCGGTGAATGTGACTCCCCAGCTATGTGTTGTCATTTCTGCTGGCGCACGTTGAAAATCTACACCACGGCCGACACATTTATTCTGATTCAAGAGGGAATAATCGCTGAGATTGGTCTAGGAACGAGGACTTTCGGTTTGAAGCACATGACTCGCCAATGTACTACCATTTGAGGGTTTCTGTGTGGGGAGCGCAGATGCTTGAGCTCATTGGCGAGCTACATGTTGATCTCTGTGAGCTTGTATTGAGGGGACAGCTGCCAGAGCTCGGAGCATGGCAAAGTTTGAGTCTCAACAGTGCAGCGGTCGGGAGAATTCGAATCAAGCTGGCATACATGGATGCCAACGAGTACGAGGAACAGCAAGCCACGGCAACCAAGGTTTCTGCAGCGAAACGGCAATAGCAGCGGCAGAAGTTGGAACGACAGCAGAGCGATGACGGGCAGGCTCGGGTTCATCAGATGGACTTCCAGGTTTGGTAAAGAAGTGTTGGCCTCGGTATCAGGAGAAGTCAGGGAACAGCGAGTCGGGTCGGTTTGTTTAATCCGGTAAACTTTCAACGAGGATTCTAGCAAGCATGACATGGCACTCGTCCTGCAGGTAAGTGTATTACTCGCGCTGAGCTAGCTGAGTACGTTGAAAAAGGAGTGAGGAAGACAGCGGGGATCATTGAAGCGATCGAATGTGACAAGAGAAACCCCTGTCTAGTGACGGGGACGGTACTTGGTAGTCTCCCCACACGAGGTAAAATTCCAGCTCCTTTCCATCTTATCAGATCGTGGCTTGCTGTTCCGACTCTGACCCATCGGGCTGGGTCAGGGCTGACGATGGCGTCTTATTTCCCACAGTGGAACAAGTCCCAACATTAACAAAAGTTTAACAAATGCAATCTCATTTCCATCCCTGCTTGAACAAGTTCTTGTCCGTCGAATAGCGTGATGCCAGGCTTTGTCGGTGAAAGGTATCTATCCCTGAAGGTGCTGCCATGGCTGAGAATATGGCATCAAAGGGAGGTCAATGCTGGCACAGACCAGCTCACTCAGCAGGGAGTAGGGTTGACTGACTGTATCCTCTGTGTGCAGTACATGTGAGTACCACAAGGTTTTGATATGCAGCATGGGATGAATGCGTCAAAGAGCCAGCGAAGCAACCCAACAACAATAGGCGGTGGGTACGTTGGGCATTACCAGTAAGAGTGTAGTTATATCATATATAATTGAGGAAATGGCCAATGTGTCCTGTCCTGTTCTGTTCTATTCTGCTCGACGGGTTCCGAGATCGGTGAGCTTGTCCGTGTACATACAGTATTCGTAATTAGCATGTCGCATCTCATCATCTAAAGGGATTAGATGGGATTGATAACCCCCCAATCAATCTGATAACTTTTTAGCATGGTCAAGGCTGAGAACCATGGCTCGTTGGGACGATCCGATTGGCCAAGCCGTGGCAAGCCACTTGGAAGAATGGGAAAATGAGGGAAAAGTGTCCGGAACCGGGATGTCCTGGCAATGGAAGGCCACAAAAAGCAAGTTTCTGTGTCCAGAATTAATTTCACTGATTTTACGTAGTACGAAGTACTCAGTCTGAGCTTGAGGCACGAGAAGCCGAGGAAAGTCACGGGTCACCAAATGTTGTTGTTGATGTTGGCGTGTCAATCAGTTGAGTTTGGAGAATGGGGTAAATGAGGCATGTGACTCCCTTCCAAGGCGCACCCCTTCTCACTACTGACGACTCCCGATAGAATGAGCCGGGGAAGAGGAATGATTTACCGCAGAAATCTCGCACTGTCGCTTGGTCACGATCTGTACGATTGCGGGGAGGCTGAGGCAGTCACAGCTCATCAATTACCATACCCTTTACCCATCTTGGAACAGCTGCATCTGCATCTACACATCGGCTCAGCTTTCGGAATCAAAGATGGGGGGAACTTGGAAACTGAACAAATCAATAATATTGCGGGGGGAGCGAGGGGGAACGAGGGGAACTTGCTTGACAAACATCCTTCTTCAAGGCACAAATAGGTACTAACTAATCGTGATCAACGGGCTGGGCGATAACGACGGAGAAAGAGATAGCGTCTGCGGGCGCCGCCGTTGTCCAAGACGAAGCAAAAGAAGGCAACCCAACCTTTCCTTTTCCTCGGGACGCCCCACGGAAACGCTCGGTTCGGCCGTCGGACGAGTTCCGCCAAGAGGCTTTCAAACATTCGGCTGTGGACCGGATACTGATACTGATGGGTGAGAGGAAGAAGAGAGGTGAACAATCACCTGATTTTGTGTTTCCTTTTCTTCAGTTTGTCCATTGAGGTGATCCTCGGTCAATAAATCGTCGTAATCGTACCTGTCTGCTATATTATATTCGGTTGTTGGGGGACATAGACGGAATTGACAGGCCACAATTGCGGGAATAGACGGCATCTCTCTCTTGTGGTGGCCTGACCCGAAAGCTGGAGCCGTTGAACTTATTGAGTCCGTTACATTGACGCCTACCGTGAGTGGTCGGCTACAGGTCCCGGTCCTTGATCAGACAGAGCCTCATGGATATTGAAATCCTGGCCGCTGAGTATTGAGCCGTTGTTGACTGATGAACCGAAAAGATCCGCTTGTTGAGTAGCTCGTATGATCTAATTACATGAATGCGCCGTTCAAGTTCCTGAACTGTAATTTCCGGCTCTCTGTAAGTCTGTATAATATGACCATGAGGCGTGCGTGTAGCCCGTCAATGTCCAACAGTAAAATAAAGATTGAGGGGAAGTTGATCTCTCACTGTGAGAGCTGTGTGCAGCGAGTTGTGGTGTCGGCCAAGCCGATTCATCAATGTTGCTCTATGCAAATCATCTTACCCTAAACCGAAGTTTGAATTTTTCTAGATTTTCTAGCTTTCTGGCTACGTCTGTGATTGGCTCAATGACTAGATTATCAGATCATTGGTAATTATTGGTCGTCCTTCACCATTTTCCTTAATACTCCATGAATGTTAAGAACCGCAGAACAATTGAGGCGGTTCGATCAAATATTGAGATTAGAGAACGTAAGAACTAGGAATGCCAAGACTATGCACCAAATACTGCTATTCGCTACAAATGCTTGATGTGTCAAGACAAAGAATCGACAATCAAGTGGCTGATTGATAAAGGTGGCTCCCCAGCCAGGCGAACCAATCAGCGAAAATACTTTGTGCAAGCCGGGCAGCGTTGCACAAACCGGTCACTGGATCGGCAAGCATTAGATCATAGCCCGTCATCATGGAAAAGAAGCAGAGGGAACTCTTTCGCCGATTATCGATAATAAGATAACAAACAATGCATAATCGAGTGGATGATTGTTTTGATCCGGAGAAAGGATTCCCGTGGGTACTTTATGTTTATTACTCCGTAGTGACAGGAGAAACAATATTTGGAGATGCTGAGCCCACGTGCATGGATTCGATTAGCTCTGGTGAGACAAACACGCACTGACTGACTGACTGACTGACTGATTGATTAAGCATTGATTGATAACGAAATTGCGACAAGGGGAATGGTCCTGTTTCGGAGCTCCTGAGCATTGGGCCAGAACAATAGACAACCCTCGATGCCCCTTTTTCATCATCATCATCTCAAAGCAATTACTATGCATTTATTCAATCTATCCTGTGGCCTGTTGTTGTAAGGAGAGTTGCTAGGGGCCTAGATCGGGATCGTTCGAATTCGGGTTTTACGATGGGCTGGGGAAGAGAATAAAGATGCCTGTCGCTGGTGACCCGACTGCCAGGTGATTGGGTTACAAGGGATCCAATTATCGCGTGTACCTGAAAAACACAATGCATATTTGATGTAATTCGAGAGATTCCAGTGAAGACTTAGTGAAGGTTTTATAATACATTGCTCATCAATTGCATCTTACAGTATCAAATGGATCTGGATGGCAAAAGGCCCCAATAGGTACATCCCTAGCGATAGTGGTCGTTCGGGACTGGCTACAGCGCAGTAGTCTAAGGCCACACCCCCCTTTGCTTGGTCTGATAGCCCCACGGGATATCCCCAACCCGCATCGGGGGGCGCTTTGTGTTCAGTTCAGTGCAGGCCAGGCTCAGGTTCCCTGGATTTTTTAAAACCTCCCGCTGTCGGCCACTACCTACTATTTGAGTCTTTTGCCCCCTCCAGCTTTCTTCAGCTTCTTCCTTTCACCACACCAGCAAAGCTTCCTCAATTCAGAAGCACCTATCTTATCAATCGATTCTGCTGCAACTCGAAGTCTATTGATCCTACAATTTATACCTTATTCGCCTCTAGACGACAGACAGCACGCACCCGCATCCCTGTTAGTCGACCGTCATGCTCTTTGCGTCCTGACGTCGCTTTCGAATTATATCATACCACACAAACCGTCATAATCTACTTGCTGCGAAGAGCAATTCAACAACACCCACACCCGACTCTACTCAACTTTCAGCGGGTGGCTCAAACACAATTTTGGCCCATCATGACTGCTCCTGCTATTCGAATTGACGGCATCGTCAACCCCGCCGCTCCACCTCATCCCGAACTGATCATGGCTGAGGGTGCCCCTTCAATTGCGCCCTCATTGACTTACTCAGACGACTCAGACTCACAAGAAGATGAGCCCGTCATCCCTCTCGAGCGCCGTCGTCGCGCATCTACACGTCTGATTGCCCAGAATGCCAGAGACATTCAGCGAATCACTGGTGAGACACCAGCTGAGTATATGGATCGCTGCTGTGGTGGCGCTTGCTGCATGGGTGACCGAAATAATGTCGAGTATGAGCAAGTTACTCTACCTGATAACGATGCTTTCAAGTCTCTCGGTCTAAGACTTGAAAACATTCCCACCAACTTGACTGGCATCATCGATATGCCTGAGCAAACTGTGTCTTTCACCTCAATCCCTCGGCCAACTTCTTCGCCATCCGACTCGGCCATCTCTCTCGGCTCCGACTCTGAGTCGTCGTCTACAGCCACTACTTCCAAGAGCAACTACCTCGTTCCTGGACCTGGATATGAGGGTGTTGACACCTCAATTCAACCCCCTCGCTTTGTTCAACCTCATCCTCCCCACAATGTCTATCCGGCGAGGATCCACAACACCCGTGAGCTCACCAAGCCTGGCGCCGAGAAAAGAACCTTCCACTTTGATCTCGACATTACCGACTACCCTCCTGAGGAGGTTTTCGACTTCAAGGTTGGTGGTGCCATTGGTGTCATGGCTCCCAACGATGAGATTTCGGTCGATGAGATTCTGGATGCCCTCATGATCCCACGCTTCCAGCGTGATAAGCCTGTCCTCATGAAGACCACCAAGGGCCGCTGGCCTACCGTGTGGGGTGATGACAAGCCTCGTGAGCTCGTCACCACACGTCGCGAGCTCCTTACTTGGACCACCGATATTCAATCTTATGCCCCAACCAAGGAGCTCCTCCGTGTCATTGCGGAGCATGCCACTGCTCCTAACGAGAAGAAGATACTCATGTATCTCTGCTCCAACGAGGGTGCTAGCATTTTCTCCGACTTCCGTGGTGGCCCTCACGTCACTCTCTCACAGATCCTCAACGCGTTCCCCAGCTCGCATCCTCCTATGGATCAGCTCCTGTCCGTCCAAGCTCAACTCATGCCACGATTCTACTCTCTCTCCAACGATCCCACGGAATCATACACTCTCCGAGAACATGCTCAACGCCGCTTAATTGAGATTGCCGTCACAGTCCACGACTCCATGGATTGGCGACGTGGCTGCCGTGCTGGCGTCGGCTCTGGATTCTTTGAGCGACAGGCCCACAAGTTTATGCGAGCTCAAGCTGCTGGCGAACGTTCCCCTCAGATCTTCATTCCAATGTTCAAGGGCCTGATGGCCAACCCTCTGGCTAAGCAATTCAACTCGGATGGTCCCATGCTCCTGATTGGTGCTGGTGTTGGTATTGCCCCTTTCCGTGGCTTCGTCCAGCGCCGCCTCAAGCAGGCCAACTGTGCCAATAAAGTCTGGGTCCTGCAAGGTATCCGGGACTCGCTTGTAGATGAGATCTACAGTGGTGAGTGGGGTGTTCATGAGGAAGAAGTGAAGCGTGTTGTCCAGAGTCGAGTGGGTACCGGCAAGTATGTTCAGGAAGAGGTTATGAACCAGTCTGATCTGGTCTGGTACATCATAAACTCTCTGGATGGTCGAATCTTCGTGTGCGGAAGCAGCAAAGGCATGGGCGAAGGTGTCGAAGAGGCTCTTTGCGATGTGGCCATGGAGAAGGGCAACCTTGAGCGCGAGGAGGCCCGCAACTTCTGGAAGCTCAAGAAGGAAGAGGGCAAGTACATCTCCGAGACATGGTAGATGTTCTAGCCTGCGAGTCTATTCTAGCGAGTTGATTGGGAGGTTTTGGATGACGTTTGTTTTATACTGAAGAGGAATTATCGGGATCTTTGTAACAAGATAGGAAAAGTTGCAAACCGGCGCAAGCTGGATGGTCGCATGAAAGAAGGATAGCATATGGCATTATCTGATTCGAGACAAGAGGAGCATTGGGCTGGGCATGGTAACGGCGTTATGGGAGTTTAAAGTATAAGGTGGCAGTTCGCATAGTGCTACTATTTTTCCTACAAAAATACCCTCGGCAGCGGTCTGGACGGGATAGGATTGACAAAGAGCTTGCTCTATCCTCGCCGAGAAATCAATTTACAAATATAGAGAAACTTATTCTACTGGAGTTCCAGAGATGATGTGACTGTACAGTTTACTTATCTCGAGTCTTTGGTGTACTCTACTCGTCTGATTTTCCAAGGCTTTTTACCGTAGTTAGTTGTTATTTGTGCCTTGTACCTATCACCAATCAAGGATCCTCCTCACATACAAGCAGGTGATTAAAATCTCACCAACAGAAGACCTGTCAAACATGAGCCTCCCGTTGTCAGATTTCCTTTTTTGGCATCTGGTGAGATATGATAGGGCAGATGTGTTCGGCATCCAATCCAAGCGGGAGCTCCAATGCATGGGTTCGTCTGCGTATAAAAAACAATTATGGTTATGTCAGCGGATCTTTGTACCATGAAGCCATGCGCCCGGGTGCATTATCGGTCTCTCGCGCGCGCGCGTATTGCAAATCACCAGGCGGTCAAGAGTTAGGAAGTCTCCGAGTGTACTCCGTACTCGAGTCTCGCGATTAATCAGATGAGACAATTTTGGAACAGAATCAGTCAGTGACTGACTTGCTCGAAGCATGTTTTACGAGTGCCCGAGGGAACGTTTCAGAGGATACGCAGCTGAATACCCAGTATCTAACTAGCTGATGCTTTGCTTACACGGAATTATCAAGCTGCCAGGGCTGCTCAGTGCATCTGGATGGCTGGTTACGTTTGTCAGCGGAATTGTAAAGTCTCGTTCCGATTAATATATCCGAGTTTCTCCAAGCTCCACCATGCGAAGAGTAGTCTAGGTACTTCGTAGAGAATTCAAAGCAACTATCGCTTCAAATACAGGAGATAACAGAAGAAACTACTACTCGCAGTGATACTATTTTGGCAATCAGCTGAATGATTATCTCCATTCGTTATCCAAGAAACGAAGCCCAATTCAATCGTGGCTTCATTGCTTTAGGGTAACTCCAGACAGACGCTAACCTCTTTTACTATATGTATATCCGGATGGAATCGTTCGGAAAGATATCCCAAGTCTAGCGCGCGCGAGCAGAAATTATTAGCCGGTAGCTGACAAACTGATTACCTAGACAGGCACAGAACCCTTCACTGATGCCATCCCGGCGCTGCATTAGTCGCATTAGTCAGTGGAGCTTGGCGATTGCGAAAAGTTGGCAGGGTCTGATGTGTTTCTGCTCTTTACGAACGGGACAATGGGGAGGAGGGGTCGATATGGCGGGGCCGTTACTTTGATACAGTAGTTGAGGGTTTTGTTATATATACTCTAGTTGATTCCCCGTGTTGTCTGTCCTTCCAGATCATCATCAGTCTCTCAGCTCATATCACTTACACCACTAACACTGACACCTACAAACACCTACAAACTATTCACAATGGCCGCTAAACTCTCCGCCAACGCCCTCATCGAGCTGGCCAAGAACCGCCGCTCCATCTACACTCTCTCCAAGAACCTCCCCATCTCCACCCAGCGCATCACCGAGATCGTCAACCAAACCACTCTCGAGACCCCCTCATCCTTCAACTCCCAGTCCAACCGTGTCGTCGTCCTCTACGGCGCTGAGCACGACAAGCTCTGGGACATCACTACCGATACCCTCAAGGCTATCGTCCCCGCCGAGACATGGGAGGGCACCTCTAAGCGCATCTCAGGCTTCAAGGCCGCCGCCGGAACTGTCCTCTTCTATGTCGACAACGCCGCTGTCGAGGCCATGCAGACCAAGTTCGCCATCTACGCTGACCGCTTCCCTCCCTGGGCCGTTCAGTCCGCTGGCATCCAGCAGTACCTCCTCTGGACCGCTCTCGAGGCTGAGGGTCTCGGTGCCAACCTCCAGCACTACAACCCCCTGATTGATGAGAAGGTTGCTGAGACCTGGAAGATTCCCTCTACCTGGACTCTCAACGCCCAGCTTGTCTTCGGTGCCAAGACCGCTGAGGCTGCCCCCAAGGACTATGCTCCTCTCGAGGAGCGTGTCAAGGTCTTTGGCGCTTAAAATACCTTTACGAAAGCATGAGAAACGTCAACTAGAATTGGCATAGAAACCTGCATTTTTAGCGAGTTGCAATTGAAACATGGAGCCCCGAGCTCTTGCTTTCCTTCAATAGACAAAATTATCAATCCCAATATAAGCGTTTGCATTGACGATGCCCTTCTCCTCTGACCGACACTTGAACATCCATGTTGACTATCTGCGCATGCACCACATGCCAACCCAAATCATGCCATGTTCTAATGGTATTTCTTTCTTTGTAGCCAATATACGAAAGTGAATTTTGAAATATTCTTCATAAAACGTGACATCATGTATAGTAGTATACAATTATATATATCTGTAATTATCCAAACGCTTAACTCGCTTCTTGGCTCTGCATAGCCATGCTGTACCTCACTCAATGACCCGTCCCAGTGCTTGCCCCATTTTCACCTTCTGTCCCTTCTGTACAGCCCAATCCCAACCGACATGTCTGTTGTTCTCATCTGTTTTGCTTGAGGGTGCCTCGAAAACGAGTACGATGGTGCTACCCAACTGGAAACCGCCCATTTCTTCACCGCGTCGGAGCGCATGACCCCGCAGAACAGGGCTGGCTGCTTCGTATGTCGCTTCAGAAAATCCATGATACACTTCACCCCTACGGGCAGCTTCCTCCGCTGCACGGTCTGCTGCCGTGTCAGTCAACAGACTATTGGTTCGGAGTTCCTTGTCAAAGTTGATCACAATGGAACCGACGTTGGTGGCACCAACTGGGACATAGCTGAAGAAGCCCCAGCGCCAACGGCCCAAAAGAACCACGCGCTCGTTGAGTGTGAAAAGACCCGGGAGGGTTCGCTGAAGATATGGGGATACGCTATATAGTTCTCCTGCAAAGTGGCGTCGGCGGTTAACAACCCAGTTCGTGGGAGAGTGAAAGCGGTGGTAGTCGCCAGGAGCCAAGTAGATAACTGCATAGTAAAGCGATGTGGTATTGTCGGGAGATATGAGATCGTACCAAGGTCGCTCACCGAGAGCGAGTTCGGCACGAACCTCAGAAACTGTACCAGGAGACGCGGGCATAGACTCGTCCTTTGCCGAAGGAGCCTGTTTTCCAGTGCCGGTGAGAAGATCGGGAAGAGTGTATGAAATGCCATTGACTTGAGCAAACTCCTCGTGTTGCTTAACGAGCGACTCCTCCTCTGAGACGTCACCTTGGCTTGTTGCGGGAGTTGAAGTACCGGAGGCACCAGAGATGCTTGGAGCAGGAGTATTCTTTCCAAGAAGAGCATCGATAGTGTAAGTCATACCCTTCACTTGCTCAATGTCGTTGCCTTGAATCTGGCCGAACTGAAGTACTTTTCCATCGGAAGGGCAGATGAGCGTATGGGGATCCTGATTAAGTGGCCGAGCACCGGGCTTGAGCGTACGGTAGAAGAAGGATGCGAGGTTGGGATAGACGTGGAGATCGGGTTCGGCGACTTCGTCGAGGCTGCTATCGTTAGCAAAGGGATTTCGAGCGTTGAGTTGAGGGTACAAACTTGACACCGAAAATCCAAGAATAAAGCTTGAAACCGGGAACTCGAAGATAGTAAGGAATAGTAAGTTCGTTGAATCGACCCCAAAGTCTAGAGATAGCCTTTAGGGGTAGAGTTGACATGACCTGGACCTGCCTGGGATTGATTGAGTTAGCATTGATGGGAATAGGGGCATAAATAAGCAACATACCAAGGACCATCAGGTCGGATTCTGGCACGCTTCTTGGGTGCCCTAGAACCCTCCTGTCCATCTTCATTCTCGAGTCTCTCCTTCTCACGGGAAGAGACCTTATAAAACTGGACGAGGCCGAGGAAACCAATACCTAGACCGACAGGGATCCGGTACCATTGAATTTTGGAGTTTCGCATGGCCTCGCCGAGGCGCTGGGAAAATCTTGGTCTCTTGCCCGAATTGGAGGCGAAGGTTCGAATTGAAGAGACCGAAGGCCGTGATAGGCATCGCGATCTTGTAGAGGCCAGAAACATGTGTCGCGAGGCAGATGGCGAGTAACAATTCGTCCAACGGCCGTTGGTGTAGAATGAGTTGCGGAGCATGTGACTACCGAGCTTGGAGGAGCCAGGCCCAAAACCAAGGGTTGGAGCCATAGCGGACAGTAGAGATTGACAGCGATTGAACGCTGCCTCCTTGCCTTTTGTACAATTGCGTAGAGTCTTTGGGTAGAAGAGAGGTAGCTGAAGCCTCTCAAAGAGGACTGGACCCTTATTTTCGATGGATGCTGACGTCAAAACCAGCGATGACGATGGATTGCGGCTGCTCGAGCTTGTTAGCCGCACACAGCCAAGACACACACAGCTTCTTAGACAAGCTCTCGGAAGCAAAAGACGCCGACCGCCGAACGATGATGATCCATCCATTGATCTCGAAGGGGCTAACTAAACAGGGGGTTTTAGGACACTGGCCAATCAACACTAGCGCTGTAACGACCTGATCTCAACAGACCGACACCGCAACAGCGGGCTGTCACTCCCCTGGCCGTTCCCCATTGTCGCAGGCTAAGGTGAGCGTGTGCCTGAGCTTACCTGAATATGGCCCCAACCCAAGGGCAAAAGGCCACCCTAACCATTGTCGTAGGTTGCCATTGTCTTCCATGTCTTGATTGTCACATAGTAATCAACCATCAACTATCAAAACCTTCTGTTCCCTCATTTCACCA